CCTAACTAGGCTGCTGGATTGTCGGGGTGTGCGTGCTGTCATATATCATTTGAGCACGGTTTTTGACCTGGGTATGTGCTTTGCTTGGTTAGGCAGACTGTTAGCTCGGTGTGGTATGTGCAGGTTTCTGCGGTTGTGGCGTGTGTTCTATTCTGTTTTAATCTGAGTGGGTTTGGATGACTTTGGGATTGAGCGATTTTGAGTAAAAGGAGGATGTTGGTGTTTTGGGGCTTTTTGCTTGGGAAATTTTTATGTTGGTGAGTAGAATGTATGGATAGATAGATAGACGGAAGGATGGTTGGGTTGGTGCCAGTCGCCTGGCTGTTGGTGGGTTGTCTAGGTATTGGGGACGAGGTATCGATGTAAATAGGAGTGTTCCTAGATGAGCATCTGTTAAGGGGTCTAATATGAAGTTCATTTATTGGAGGTTGCGTCACTTATAATCAGGGAGAGGTTTGTCGGCTTTAACGCATCTATTACATAGCTTAGTCCAGTCGAGTTGTCTGTAGTTAGTTTAGTATTTCTATGGCCTTTCACCACGAGACAGAGTCATGGGTGAGATAATGATTGCCAGTAGTCTATATTAGTATAAAAAAATTCAAGTAGTTGGCGCCAGCAACTCCAAAAAGACCCTTTTCCCTTTCCTTCTTCCTTCCCCCTTATCGCCCACCCCCTCTCTGCTGTTTTACCTCGAACGTTACAGTTTGATCTAACCCGTTCTATGATTGCATACCGAGCTCACGTCTTTCGAGTCTTGCGTCTGGGTCTCATCCAATGGTTTGATATGTGGTGAGGGTAGTTTTTCCCCCATGATTCGTGAGAGCTCATCATACTCAACTCCACCGTAGGTCCTGAAAGATGGTGTTCCCTTTTACGAATCATTCGGATTCGACATGACACCCCCTGCTAGTATGGCAAGAGACAAAACCAGCACCAAGAGTGCCAATATGGTAATCCCCATGTTCTTTGATCCCATGACGTTCTCATATATCAGCAGAGTGGAAAGTTTCCTGCTCATGACCTTGTGCTCGACCTGAGAGAACATGTGGCGTAGTTCTAGGAGATAGTTCCTCCAGATAGCTCCCGCCCTCTTAGGCGGAGGCACGTATTCCGGCACATCAAGTACATCTGACGACGGAAGTTCCTTGAATAGATCCAGGATAACTGCGGCCTCGTCAGCTTCAGCCCAGGAAATATTCCGGTCTATGAGTTCCAGCAGTCGTTCTTTATTATGGGCATCGGATTGTTCGATGAAGCCCCTGAGCGTTCGTGTGTGTGATTCTGATTGCCGATCCCTTATCCTATAGTAAACTATATCACCACCGCAGCATACTATTTCAACCCATCCACTACCGGCTTCTATTAATACGGCCGAATCTTTACTGTAAATCGATACATCAACCTGGAAACCAGCCCTTGGTTCCCACGAAAAAACACGTTGTTCCAACAAAAGACTAAACCGGGGATCAGCCCCTTGTTCCAACCAAAGCTCGCAAATATTCCAAATCTCGCTGTGTAGTTGATGTCTTTCTGTCGTGAGTGTTTCTATACAGTAGATCCATGGACCAGTGGTATGACACCTAGAGTTGGATATATGTGGCTCAAATTCTCTCTCAAGTATATCTAAGCCGATGAATCCGTGCTCGAGAAGTTTCGCTAGGAGAGTTCGATTACCAGATGCGGGTTTCGATTCGTAAAAGCCAAAAGAGCATCTCGAAATTATGGCCGATACTAGACATCCTCGTTTAGGCATGCCGCTTAGCCTTCTCAAGATCCAAGGCAACAGCGTTTCCATACTGAGATAAGCAGCCTCTATCAGCAAAGATAGGCCATAATGATCGCGCCAATATTCGTCTGAAGGATGTGGTGTCCCAAATTAAATTTCAAAATTCATCTCTTCGATTTAGTCTAGCTGCTCCATAATGCAACGCTTTTCAAGTAGGTTCGTTTCGTCGAGTACGAGGAAAACAGTATCGAATAAACGACGTATACTATCATAATAGAGGTTTTTTTCATTTTTCACCCTGAGATAGGAAGTAAGGTAACCGAGCATGAGTTGGCAGGTGTGCTTGCCTAGATCTGTCTCGGTTATGCCGTATTTGTGTAGTTTGGTGTCAAGGTGTTTGTCTAGGACCCCGATAATCGAACGATGGGTAAATAAGAGAGAATGTAGTTCAGGAAATTCATCATGGCATTTCAATTCAAGTAGCCCATTGAATCGAGCATCAACTTCTTCTTCTGTAAAGTTATTCCAGTTAACACAGTCGCCCGGGTGGCCACTTGGTTTTACGTGTTCTCGAAGCAGCAAGTCCCACAAGTAGGATGCACCGTAAATAGGCACGATCACTGGCTTAAATATTGCTAAGGTCTCAAATTTGTAGACTATAGCTAGGAGAATATATGCTTCCCGTTGGTATTGAGGGGACATTGAATCGAGCATTTGCTCTAGGTAAGGATTCAGTTCTTTTGGTGCGGTGCGAACATGTTCCCATAGCTCATCTAGCCTATAATATCCAAGATACTTTCGTCGTATCTCAGAAACCATAAGCCGAGCCCAAAGGAAGACACCGTGGGCCGATTTAACAATATGTCTTATTAGGCAGTTAATACTACATATGTGTAGCGACCCGTAGCGCCTGCAGAGGTTTTTGGTGTTTTGCTTGCAGGTATATTTTAGGTCCGAGAATCGGGGATGATCCTTCAGGCGCCCAGTAACAAAGGTCTGCATATCTTCCCTAGTGAGGTTCTGCAATCGAAATTTCTGGTTACGGGTAATGGATCTGAACACCTCATACTCTCTGCTGGATACACATATCTTGACCTTCTCATTTGACTGGGAAGTCCAATCTTGGATGGTTCGCACCAGGTCATTGTAATCCTGGGCATTTCCTTCCTCCTCGAACTCGTCAAGGCCGTCGATAAGTATAAATATCTTGTGTCGCTCTAGAATCCGAGGGTCACCCATCAGCATGTCACATGCTCGAGATATCTTGTCGTCGTCAAGATATGTGTGAAGTCCGGTGTTGCGCCCATCAGGTCCAGGTAAAAGTAGCCCAAAGAGTTCAGGGGCATGTTCTAGGGCAGACTTCAGTAAGAAACGCCTTAAGCCTTGCAGCCTATTCTGACCCGACCCGGATTTCCAAAAGAAGTATTTCATGCGGAGGAGTTGTGATTGCCCAGCCCACTGCATCAGATTCTTCTCTGTGTCTTTATGATTCCAGATGAATTTCATCAATGTTGATTTACCGGAGCCAGGTTTCCCAAGAATGTGGAAGATGTCTTTGCCGTCGCGTAGCCAATCGACAAATGACAACTTGAGGTCTGGTTCGACTTTAAAGACCTTTTCCGGGTCATGAAAAATCCATTCGAAGGTTTCTTCGTGGGCAGCATGAACTTCGTCGTATCTCGGATTCGGTCTCATGCTATTATTTCCGTCGCCTAGCATCTGGAAGACGTGATGGAGGTCTCGCGCCGTTTGGGCTTGGCGACACAGACTCAGAGCTTGCTGCAATTTATTGGGAACATCACTCAATATGTTCAGATTTTGTTGAACGGCATTGAGCTGTTGTTTCAGGCTGTAGTTCCGGACGTGTTCTTCATCGAGGGCTTTCCCGACTTTGCTGATTTGGATTCTAATAGTTCCAGCGTCAATATAACTTCTCAGTGCTTTATTAGGAAAATTTTATATAGTATATTTATTTTCCTTCGTCTAGAGAATGAAGTCCAGCAACAAAGGTAACGAGATTGAGAGAGTGCGAGGATTGCGAGAAAAGGGCCGCAACCCTGGGTAGGTGTATGAACATAAGACCGAACATACCTTGCAGATGCCGCGAGAGCTAGATGAAGCGTTTGTTGACGCTTTTCTAGATTATCTTGGAGGACTTTAAGGTCATCCTTGTTACGATGCGTTCTTATGACTACGCTAAATGCGCTTTTCATCGAGGCAGGCCTTTTCGTTCGACATCGATCTAGTAAGGTTTCAATATCTGACGAGAAGCCCTGACACTCGCTGGCCACAGTTTGGATATGAGTATCTTCGATACCTGCCTTCTTTAATACATCATGGCCACGACGAACATCTTCAAGAATGGCGTCCAGTTCATTAGTGAATGCAAGTAACCGCTCATGTTCCTTTGGCAAGCCTGCAACCGAATTGTAGACATCTCTCGCCTTTTTGGCGCATTTGATTGCTCGTTCAGTTAGATCGAACACATTGCAGACAAGAGCTATTGCTGCTACGGATTCCATCGTAGAACTCAATATCGTTCAGGTCGATAAAGGAATTATATGCTGACATGGCATTGTCATATCTTTCTAAGAGGGGGATTGAGTGTGATGCTTGGATGAGAGGGCCATGAAGAAATGTGCTGACCGCCTTTCACTTCCCAAGCCACATTCTCATATGATACTACCAGATTGGTGCTTAGAGTGATAGAGGTAGGTAGGCTATGTTGGAGATAGCGCAGGGTTGATGAGCTGCCCAACCGGAGGGCTTGCTCGTATATTGTACGTGGCTTATAAACAATGCAGCGCCCGTTAGTATTGTCGTTCTCATTGACTGCCTTGTCTATTCAAATTGCCCAACCTTGCATGACATAGAGGGCTAGGCAGACTTTGAGTAATACCCCGAGTGCCTACCTAGGTACCTTCTATGTAGGTAAATGATGGCTTAGAATCGATAAGTTGCAAATAGGGGGAGGTATCGCCAATTTAGCTTTTAAAATTACAGATTACACACAATTATAAATAGAGAGATAGATGAGAAGAGCAACGAAGCTATGAGTAGCTGTTCGGTATTTAAGAAATCAAGTTATATTTACCAACTATGTACTGGTCTTATGTGCATGTATAGTACGTCAGTATTTATGGATGGTGTCACAGCATTAGATTATTTGCCCGACCTACTACATAAAAGGAAGGGAAAAAAAGGGGGAGGGGTTGTGAACCGAGCACAATTAACAAAAGAAAAAAAAGAAAAAGGGTTCTTCAAAAATAAATAATGCCCAACACAGGAGTCGAACCTGTTGCCTCCTCATTGCATCTGAGGATAATCAAGATATACTAGTGAGGCGCTCTACCGGTGAGCTAGTCGGGCTTGTAGGGTCGTAACCGTGGGGCGATCCAAGGTGGCGAATGAGATTTAGTTTCGTGAAAGCAGTTTATATAGTTGGTTTTCTAAAATCTAACTCCACTGTTTGAGGGTTGATCACACAGCCAAAAAGCGCCATGCATTAACTAACCATGGCGGTATGAGTACTGGATTATTTGGAAATTTAGACATAGAAATTCACAAAACTGTTCAATTCTCAAGATGTCCACAGACTGCTAGAGGACGGGCTATACGTTGCTAGAAGACGAGGGTATCGCTTATACTAGGCTTCGTTCACGGACTCACAAAACTTGAACCTACAGAGAGTTTTCGCATAGCGCATTAATCGATGCCCTCAACCAGCCCCCCTCAATCGCAATTTACCCCGGTCCAGGTACGAGCAAAACACATACATATTATACATATGTACCTAGATATTTTACATATGTACCTAGATATTTACGCAATTATCTCCTCGCGACCGGTATTTGTGTAGCAACTAAAAGTTAACGTAATATTTAGTCCATTGCTAGATGGATGCTCTAATATGTATCTGATCTGATCTGATCTGTCTGTCTGCCAGTCTGTGTAAGCCAAACGTGCTCGCGTGCCCGCGTCAGCTAATCTATTATACACCTGCAAGTGTCCCCTCTTTCTTTCCTTCACCCCATCCCACGCCCCCCCCCCCCTTTTTTTTTTGTCCTATTCCATTCCACCATTTCTTTTTTCCAATTTTCCCTTCGTAGAGACAGAGACGAAAAAAAAAAACTTTTCATTGCCTTCCTTTTTAGCCCCCCGAGGATGAAAAAAAAAAAAAACGCCGATAGAGAGAAGAAATGCGCGGAATGCAGCGTCGTGAATCATTCGGTTCGCGAGAACCCCCGGTCTGCGAGGCGGAAACGGTGCCGCCCGGATCGATAGTTCAGTCTAGCTCGTGATCGTGTCGTAAGTTCGTGCGCGCGTTGGACGTAGGAAAGTGCTTTTCTGTGCCCCCCTGCGACCTGAAAAGAGAAAGGAGAAAGCCATATCCGCGAACGCGCGTATGTAGAAGCGTTAGGTAATAAATCGTCGAAGCAAAATGCAGCGCTGTAGCTCGATGGGTAAGAGATGCTGGTCGTAAGTGAGACGATAATGCGAAATCCGAGAAGATATGTGAGAAGGCGTCGCGCCGCTAACGAATGCTAAGTAAATACTTCTCCCTTATCTCCCATCTAATCGGGAGATTTCCAGTTTGCATAACGATGTTGGATTAGGTTCGTTCTAGCTTTCCGAACCTTAGGATAGACGCGCTCCACTAGAGTGCGAGGTCTCGCCCATAGCTTCCTCTGCGCCATTACCGGCTCCGGTGCTGTTCTCATCCAGAGACTCGAGGGAAGAGTAGGGGTTCACGGCTAGGAGACCGCCGCCACTACCACTACGTGCTCTGGATGATCCGCCGGCATCATTGGCTTGAGAGTGGTTGGCGGGATCTGTCATAGAATAGCTCGCTCCTGATGGTCCCGTACTGAAAGTGCGAGCAGGGGGCGCGATGGGTCCGAAGGGAGATCCGTAGGACACTGCGAAGAAGAGTTAGTTATATGATCTCTGCAATCTCACTCCGCTAAAATGAATTCGCGAGGATATAAACAGGAGAGAAATGGAACCAAAAGCAAAAGCAAAACAGTAACGTACCTATCGGGTTTCTCATACCAGATCCCACACCTCGCGTCATGCCACGACCAGTTCCCAAGGACTTCTGCTCGGACGAATGGTGCTCGCCACTGCGTCGCCAGGACGGGAGGCCCGGGGCCGTCGGGCTCGAAGCCAAGCCCGCGCCATCGGCCTTCCCCTCGACGAAGCCAACGCCAACGCCCGCCGAAGAAGGCGCAGCCCCCGGGCCCGGCGCGCCCCCGCGGCTCATGAAGCGGCTCGCGCTCAGGCCGGTCAGCTCCTGTGCGCCGTCGCCCAGCGCGGCCGCGATCCCGGCGCCGGGCGCGGGGCCGGGGCCCTCGCGCTGGCGCGACAGGTCGGCCTGGTGCTTCTTCCACCAGGCGGGGAAGCCGTGGAACAGGCCGAGCGCGTGCTGGGTCACCTTGTCGAACGGCATCTCGTGCTTGTACTTGCAGCCCTGCTGCGTGAAGGCGCACACGCCCTCGTGCACCCACTTGTCGCAGTAGATCTTGGGCCGGCGCTGGGGCTGCTGGCCTCCCGCGCCGCCGCCGCCTCCACTACCACCTCCTCCTGCATTGCTTTGACCGCCGTGTCCGCTGCTGTTGTGGTTCGGGTTCGAGTGCGAGTGCCCTCCCTGGCCGCCGCGCCCGTGGCCGCCGTCGAAGTGCTGCGGCAGCGAGTACGAGTGCGCGTGGCCGTGCGCGCCCGAGGCCGCGGCGAGGGCCGTGGCGGTAGAGCCGGAGGCGCTGATGCCCAGGCCGCTGCCGCCGCTCGACAGGGAGAGCGAGGGCTGGTGGTGGTGCGGGGGCGTGGGGGGCGTGGACGCGACGATGTTGTCGATGCGGGACTGTGGCGGCGGAGGGACTGTTAGCTTATAGGGTTCCAACGCATAATACATATATACATCTTCCTAACTCCCAACACATGACACGTGTGTATCATTGTACAGACAATGCAAGTGAGGCGTGAAAAGAAGATTCCACGGCATTCCGACAGTTTCGGAGTGTGGGGTCAGGGGCCGCGTTTGCACCTTCCCGACATCGCGACTTCCACCAGAATCGCCGACGCAGGAAAGGGAAACCGCGGGAAATGTTTTTTTTTTTTTGGACTTACAACGGGGAGGTGAGGAAGGTACGCGGGCGCGTTTCCGGGGCAGGTGTTTCGAGAAAGCTCTGTACTTACCTGGATGGTGTCCGAAGGCGAAGACGGCGTGTGGGGAGGGCTCTGCGGGCGTGTTTAGTAAATGGAAATCGACTGGATGACGACAAACGACAACAAATGAAAAATACAAAAAAAAAATCGTGGCCGTGTAGTTATGATGGTAATAGTAGTAGTAGGAGTCGTAGGCAGTAATAGAAAAATAGTAGCTTACCTTGAGAGAAACCGCCTCAGTGTTGCTCGATCGGCCGTTAGGTGGTCGTCCGAGCGGTAGCGGCAAGATCATCATTCCCGCGTTGCCCTGCTGCAGGGCAGGCACGTCCTTCAGCGGCGGTAGCATGTCGACGGGCACTAGTCGCGTGTACTGGCCGTTGCCGCGGTCGAAGCAGTACGCGTAGATACTCTCCGTCTGCATTTTGGGAAAGTGCAATCCCGTAGTAGTAGCAGGCGCTCCTTCACCCGCACCTGCACCAACTCCCGTTCCTGCAATCATGCTTGCGTTCATACCCGTGCCTGTGCTAGAGCCCATACCTGTGCCAGAAACCGCCATAATGCCGGTGTTGGGGTTGGAAGAGCCGGTCATAAAATCGAGCTGGTGCTGCTGGGGGAACTGCTCCATGCGAGGGCTCATGTAGGAGATTTGCTGGGACTGCTGTCGCAGGGTGGCGGAGGAGTGGGGGTTCATGGTCATGGAGAGGGGAGTAGGGGAGCTGTCGAACGGCGTGTACTCGCCGCTGCTGCCGCGGGAGGAGTAAGCTTCGTCGGCGGCTGCCTGCGAGCGCCAGTTAGAAGAGGCGAGACCTCGAGAGGAGATGGTTAGCTGCGGCATGTTAGATCGCAAGGCTTGGGTTGGGAAGTTTTGCTGCTGAGGAGAAGTTTGGGTCTGCTGGATCTGGGTGCCGTTGGTGTTTGTGTTTGTGTTGGTGCGGTCCGTAATGATTTTAGTTCGTCGTTCGTTAATGGACTGGAACGGGTTACGATCCATTCTATGGTGCTGTTCGGAAAGGGAGCTGGGGTTACAGTGTAATTCGGCGGTTGATGCAAGATCGACCAGTGCTGATTGTTGAGAGGGAGAAGGAGTGACAGTGAGAGAATCAGGTGAGGTATTTCGAGAGGAAGAGTGAGAAGGAGAGGCACCGGAAGAAGTGTAAGACAAGTCGGAGGGAGACTTGATGGGAGCTGTTCCGGAAATAGTTGGGTGCGAAGGTGAAGATGAAGTAGTTAGGTTGGCGGTATCCATATTGAAGAAGGAAAAAAAAAGAATAGGATTAAAGGAATGGCTGCCGCCTGGGCTTAGCAATAGAATATCAAAGAAAAGTTAACTTGACGCGCAAACGGGCAACTCGGAAGGGAAAGGGACCACGAGCCGTATTATTTATACCGGCATGCGAGCCCGGATCAACAATGTCGGGAGAGTGGTACAAGATGAGATCTAAGGCGGTTGACTTTTAAATTACAACGGCCCCTGAAGATACTACCAACAAGGCGATCAGAAAAAAGAGCTTAGACGGGATCTCCAAGAAGAGAAAGTAGCAAGCCCTTTAAAGGAAGGCTAAGACTACTTCCTCTCGTTGAGCAAGCTAGTACGCACACACCGCACCTACGCATACCCTAGGCACACATACACGCATTACTATCACAGCCGTTTGCTGGGAAACCTCAAATAAGGTTAGATGCATTCTACGGTTACCTGCAGCTCTGTCTTGTGTTTCCCACGTGACAAACGGCCTGTATACTGTTAGACAACAGACAAAACCCATTAGAAATGTCTTAGTTGTAAATCAAAGATGGGGATAATCCTTTTAAATTAATACCTAGGTACTGAGTGCATTGGCTATCTGTCTGTGTCATGCTAAGGCAGGGAAGGGGTATGGCCAATAGCAGAGCAATAGCAGGATGCTTTCCTTACCTACTTACTCTCAAGCAAGCAGTAAAGTATCTAGCTACCTACAGGCAATCCGTTGGAAATGCAATGCATTAAGTCCGCGTCCTCATCTAAACGTTTGCCACGAGCTTCGGCGTTATGAACGTTTACCGCCCCGATAGTCGTCGGAGCTGGTTGATGAGCAGATCTCTGAAGGATCGAACGTTGGGTTGATCTCCATTGACTCTGAGAGAATCGATCGCGATCCTTAGTGAGATTTGAGAGCTAAAATCAATGCAGCTTTGGTCGGCTGGGTGTCTGGCCCTGCAGATTA